CCAAATCCCAAAAAAATCGATAATAAAAGGAATTGCTTTGCGCGCCACGAAATACGCCACATCATCTTCGATTCAAGTCATTATCAAACGATTTATCAATCACAGTAGCGCTCACAAAAAAGACCCAAACGAAGGCAAAGAAGAAAATATTGTTGGGTGCAATTCCTTGAATTTGTGATTAGAGTCATTCAAGAAAATTAACTTCTTTCACTTGAGAGTGGATTCCATTCCTTTGTTGGTATTTTTGTCTACTTGGGGATTTGATTATGGGATTGGAGTTAAAATTTCCAATAAAACTTCTGTGTGGGGGGAATTGTTTTTTTTTCATAGTCTTCATAAAAAAATTATTGATGAGTTGTTAAATTTAATTTCTAAACACATAATCTAGCATGGGAAAGTCATAAAGTACTGGGGGATAAGCCCATAATTTGGAAAAAAATGAAAATTTGATACAAAGAATATATTCGGTTTTTCATTAGTTGATGGACATGTGTGTCTAATTAATTTTTGGTAACTACTCCTTAAAATGTTTTCGACTAATGTGTCCTGTCACACCGTGATATGGCTATTTACTCTCCACTATGTATAAAACTATACAAAATGTTACTAACTTCTTATCTTGTGACAGAACGGTTGTTTAATAAACCGAGCTTAAAAAAGATTTCCAAGGGCGTCGGTTTTGTGCGCATCGCATCCAATGTAAAATACCATTTTCCGAGATGTTGTCTTCTACTTGATCTCTCCATCCGATTCGTGGCCTTTGCCTCCTGCGTGAACCATCACTTGGCTCGCTTTTATATGCCTTTTGAGACGGGAAATTCTCATCCATTCTCACAACATGACCTAGCCAACGTAGTCGCTGCGGCTGGATGCGCCTGACTATGCCCATGTCCGAGAATAGATGGTAAGGATCATAGTTCATTCGACGACGATATTCACCGTCAACGCAGATCGACCACTCCAAGAGCTGCATCGTCTGCTTGCGCAAGTTCCCATGCCTCAGATCCACACAACAGCAATGGTAATATCAACGTATTGTAGAGCGTGTGGTCTGCCGAGAGGCGTTTGGTCTGCCGAAAGGTGGCCTTGTTTTTGAGTTGCTTTCTCAGACCATAGTTCAATCTGTTGTTTAACACTATTCTTTTCAGAATTTCAAAGCTGATGTTAGTTTTGATTATGGCGGTACCGAGGTATATAAAATCGTTCAATACCTCGAAGTTGTAGTTTTCTAGTTCAGCTTGGTCTTCTCGCCATTTACTGCCAGACACACTTTGGCAGACGCCTTCTCAATACGTTCAAATGTGGCTGTTACCGCTCGTAATGTTCGACCCATTATGTCGATGTCGTCGACGAGTAACATATGCTGTGTGATGTACAAAGTGTCATTTCTGTTCATACTTGCATCTCGTATGACCTTTTCCAGCAGGATGTTGAACAGGTCATACGACAAACTTTCACCTTATCTTAGTCCTCCTTCGGTATTGAAGGGCTCCGAGAGGTCCTTTCCGACTTTAACTGATTACTTTGTGCCACTTAAAGTTATCCTGCATAGCAGTATTAAGTTTGCAGAAATGCCGAACGCAGATATGGCTTTAAACACCTCTGAAAGGATAGTGCTGTCGGATGCGGCGTTATAGTCGACGAATAGGTGGGGTAGAATGTGTCGATGCGATTTTCGTGGGTCTTTTCCAGGATCTCGCGTAGAATGAAAATCTGGTCAATGGTGGATTTGGCAGGTCTGAAGCTGCATTGGTATGCTCCAATAATGTCATTGACCATTGACTTCAGTCGTTCTCAAACCATGCTGGATAGCACTTTATATGCGATGGAAATGAGACTAATTCCTATATAGTTGGCAAATATCGTTTTGTCTCCTTTTTTGTGTACGGGGCACAGGAAGCTGAGTTTCCAATCATTGATATACATTCCTCTAGCCAAATTGGACTAATCAATTGGTACATGTCTTGACCAGCACCTAACCACCGGTCTTGAATATTTCGGCTGGTAATCCATCGGCACCCGCTGGATTATTGTTCTTCAGCCTATTAATTGATACTCTGACCTCATCTCGACTAGGTGGTATACAGTCTATACCGTCATCTCTTATTCTCTCTCGCATTACGTGTTGCAGAGTTGATCTATACGCTGCGTTTTTCACCTCAGTAGCATTACGACCAGTGTTGCCAAAACGTTGTTGAGGAAAAATGCTACATTTTGTTGAAAAAAATGTTAGAAAGTGCAAAATAATTTAAAAAAGTGCCAGAAAAAAGTGGTACTTTAGGGTTCATGAGCGCGGTTTTCAACCGAATTCGCTGAAATTTGGTACATTGAGTTCTTATTGGGTACAAAATTTCCTCACTTAAAATTATATATATAGGTCTACTTTTTCTGGTTGCCCCCATATAAGGGTACCTCCCAATTTACAATTTTTGGGTGGTTTTGGCCGAATTGGCTGTAATTTAGTAGTATGAGTTCTTATTGGGTAGCAAATCTCCCCATAAAAAATTATAAATATGGGTCAATTTTTTCGGGTAGCCCCCATATAACGGTACCGCCAATTTTCGATATTTTGAGGTTCTTGAGCGCGTTTTTCAACTGAATTCGCTGCAATTTGGTATTTTGTAGTCGTATGTAGTTACAAATCTCCCAACCAAAAAATATTAATATTCATCCTTTTTAGGGGTAGTTCTCATATAACCGGCCCGGCCGAACTTAACGCTTTTTCACTTGTTTATATTAAAATAGTTTTCAAATGTCGTATATATGTATATATTTTTTGTATATATTTTTTCTATTTTTTTTTTTTTTTTTGATGGGGTTTGAAATTATCCTACTAAAATATAAATACTAATAATGTCCAAGTTTGGTTAAGGTAAATAACTGTAATTTCACATTGCGTACAAATATGCAGACAATTATCAATTTCCGTCCCACTTGTGTACTTTTAAGGGTTTATAATCTCATTCTCAACAGCGACTTTAATATAAAATATATGTTATCCGGAATTTTTCTATTCTCGCCTTTTCGGCAATCTAAAGTGGTTATAACTTGGCATTCGGGATTCCCGCTGAATAAAAAACTTGTTTTCAGAAAGTTCCAACATAATTCATGTTCATTATTTTTACATCGCTCTCATGAAATGTAGAACTTAATTTGGTTTTCCATTTTCCCAAATAAACAATCTACCAACAGACAATATCATAGTCACCACATGAAGTACCCGACAATTTTTTAAGAAATTTGGAATAAATCGATATTCGCTCTCCAGATCGATCGAACGTCTAAAACACTGGATGAATGGCTTCCGTCTACCACAACATGTTCAATTTGATTTCTCTTTGTTTGATAGGGAGAAAGCCAGGTGGCCTTGGGCATATCGAGATGCTTGAATCTTGCCTTGCCGAATCGTGAGGAATCGTCTGATTTACTTACACCGGTTCCTTTCCATCGAATTTCCTATAAGGCAATAATATCGGCTTTGAGTACAACGTGCGTGTTCTGTTTAACGTGCGCACATTCCAAATGCAGATTCGCAGATCGTGGTCCTTTATACGTTTGCAGGGGTCGTTAACATTAGGTGGTTTTTCTTTGCTTTTTTATAGTAGGAGGAGTGTGGGGAACCAAGTACCTAATATTTTTCAGAGGCTATATTTACTAAAGATAAGTCATAACTAACACCTAACAAAAAATATTAACAGTGACCTGCAAAAATAAACATGACATAACTTAAACATGGTCCCATTTTTATACCCTCCACCATAGTATGGAGGGTATATTAATTTTGTCATTCCGTTTGTAACTCATCGAAATATTCATTTCCGACCCTATAAAGTATATATATTCTTGATCAGGGTAAAATTCTAAGACGATCTAGCCATGTCCGTCCGTCTGTTGTAATCACGCTATCTTCTGAAGGAATTGAGATAGGGTGCTGAAATTTTGCATAGGGTTGTCTTTTCTCTGCAGGCATGTTCTTGGGCGCGTTTTTCAACCGAATACGCTGAAATTTGGTACATTGGGTTCTTATTGGGTACTAAATGTCCCCACAAAAAAATGTTAAATATAGGTCCACTTTTTCTGGTAGCCCCATATAACGGTACCATTTTCATAATTTTCAGTATTTTGGGGGTTTTGATCGTATTTTTCCACCAAATTGACTGTAATTTAGTATTTCGAGTTCTTAATAGGTACCAAATCTCTCCACAAAGAATTATAAATATACGTGAATTTTTTCGGGTATCCCCCATATAAGGGTACCCCCCCATTTTCGGCATTTGGGGGTTCTTGAGCGCGTTTTTCAACAGAATACGCTGAAATTTTGCACATTGGGTTCTTAATAGGTTCCAAATCTCTCCCCTAATTTTCGGTACTTTGGTGTTCTTGAGCGCGTTTTTCAACCGAATTTGCTAAACCAATATTTCGATGAGGCAGATGTTCACCCTCATTCGCCATAAGACTGAGGGTATAATTATCATTTAAAAATTTCTAAAATTTGTATTATAATCCGTTTTTGGAAATGTCGGTATGGGTCCACTTTTTGGTATGTTCCCTATATTTTCATTTCTAGTACCTGTCAATATATCTGTGGTGGGGGGTATCCAAAGTTCGGCCCGGCCGAACTTACTGATTTTTCGCTTGTTCTTTCTGGATTATCTTTTATTACTCTTCAATTTCTTACATTTCTTCTAAATATTTTTTCATTCCCTTCGTTGCATATTGTTGTTATTTAATTCCATATGAATTATAATACCGAAATTTACAATACGATTCAAAATACATGTTTTTCAACTGATAGATCGGATCTGGTATTTATTTAGCTTTCGATTATTGTTGGTCCGAAGTTGCTGTTATTTATTTTAAATAATATTTAATAGGCAAATATTTGTTTTTGATTTAATATGAATTCAATAGAGCCATCCGCCGCAAAATATATTCAACCAAATATAATAAAACCACTTGTCTCAAAACTAAGAAAGTCAGTTATTCCCAAACGACCTATAATGTTCGACGTTAAAGCAAACTCAGTAATTTTGCATATCTGTACAGTCATTATCTGCTGTATATTTCTACCAGTAAATGCTATAATACCAGGCAATCAAAATGCCAGTATAACAATCGATCAAGCCCCCTATATTGTTCAAATCAGAGAACGTAATGACAAGCATGCGTGCGGTGGAACCCTTATAGCTCCACAATTTGTGGTAACAGCAGCCCATTGTTTTGAGAAATACGGCATTGGTCATTTTAAAGTCGTGGCTGGGACCACAACTACAAAAGAACAAAATGTTGTTGTGAATATCAAACGTCTGTTCATACATCCCCTCTATGAGACTGGATATGCAAATTATGATGTTGCTGTTTTGAAATTAAATCGTCCAATATTTGGTGAAAATGTTGATGCCATCGAACTGTGTGATGAGGATACCGATTTCGAGGAAGGTGATATGCTGCAAATTTCTGGTTGGGGTAAACAAGTGGATGATGATTTGGCACCATCTTCGGAGACTTTACAGAGTGTGTCAATACCTATTCTATCGGATGTGAAATGTGCTGCCATTTATGATGAAGAAGAATCCGACGTGGAGAAAATTTCCGATGAAATGTTATGTGCCCATGGTGCGAATGGTGAGGATGCCTGCCAGGGTGATTCAGGTGGACCAGCGGTTTTCAATGGTCAATTGTGCGCAGTGATTTCATGGGGCCACGGCTGTGGTAGTCTGGAATATCCTGGTGTTTATGTCCGAATTGATCCAGTTCGGGATTTTATTGAGGACTGTTTGAGAAAATAAAATACAAATATTCCATTTTCAGGTTTTAATTGTTTGTTTTATTTTTATATTGACAATTTTGAATTCTATAAATCCTGAACATAAATAAAGCCCATCATAAGTGTCATGATCCATCTCCGGTTTAATACGGCATAATGCCTTTCAGAAATAATTGTATTTTTGATTTCGAAATAAACGCCGAAGTTTCATAACCTCAAAAGATTCTTCCTCAAGAACAGATTCTCTTCCTCTATGAAACATTTCCTTCGTCTTATCTATTGGGACTTTCTTCAGATTGCCTATAATCTGAAGGCCCATATAAAGATCATTCGTACATAAACACTCTCCCCAGATCGACTATAAAGTCTTTAAGGATTCCCTGCTTCAACTCTTCTTTGAAAGCCTCCCTGTTTCGGGACGATTATGACAGACTGATACTAATGACCAGCTTGTCTGTGAAAGACTCCCTGATTCAGGCCTATGAAGAAGTTCCTTCTATGAAAGACTCTTCAACTTGTCTATGAAAGACCACCTTCAGCTCTTTTATGAGAAACTCCCTTCAGATCATCTCTGAAAAACTCCCATCAGCTCATCTCTGAAAGACTACCTTCAGTTCGCCTATGAAAGACTTCCTTCAACACGCCTATGAAAGACTTCCTTCAACTCGTCTATGAAAGACTCCCTTAAGCTCCCCTATGAACTACACACTTCAGCTTATCTCTGAAAGATTCGCTTTGACTGGTCTATGGAAGACTCCAAGCTTCAGCTCGTCTATGAAAGACTCCCTGCTTCAGGTCGTCTATAATAAGTCTCCCTGCTTTGGAGCGTCTATAAAAGACTTCATTCAGATTGTAAAGACTCATTCCAGTTCATCTCTAAAGACTCGTTTCAGCTCGTCTCTAAAGAACTTAGGTCGTCCTTCCTTGCTTCGTCTATGAAAGACTCCCTTCGTCCCGTCCATGAAAGACTCCGTCCATGAAAGACTCCCGCAGCTCGTCGTTAAGAACTCCCTTCGCCCCCTCTTTCACAAGATTCTTGCTTCTCCTCTCCTTCTCATCGTCCGAAGGAGATGTTAGGAATTATTTCTTACCTCCTTTTTGATAATTTAGAAATTAATTTAATTACCAAAGAATCTGTGTGTCTTTATTTTTTATTTATTTTCATCTCCTCCTCTACTCTCTCATACAATCTTCAATAAAGTCGCGTACAACATCAATACTGGTATAAAGACCAGGATATTCAGCACGGCCACAACCCATACCCCACGACACCACGGCACACAATTCACCACCATAAACTCCCGGACCACCTGAGTCACCACGACAAGAATCCCTTTTACCTCCATCATAGGCACAGACAACAGAATCCGAGATTTTTACCGAAACTTTTTTATACATTTTCAAACATTCCTGCTTATCCAAAATGGGCATAAAAATCGTCCGCAATTCATCAGAAGAATATCCTTTCTCCTGTGTACGACCCCAACCAGAAACTTGAATAATATCACCGGCCTTTAACGCTCCGGAACACAACTCGATAGGTCGAATATTTTTGCCCACCATTTCTTCGTCTAATTTGAGAACAGCTATATCACGATCTTTGTTCAACATCCGATAGCCAGGATGTATAAAACCTTTGACTACTTTACGACGTACTCCAGGTTCATCGACGGTGCTGGCACCACCAACGACAATAAATTCTTCAGGTTTCATCTTGTCCATGCAGTGAGCTGCCGTTACGACATAACGTTTAGCTATCAAGGTACCGCCACACACAGTTATATCCCGCAAGGTCCTCAATTGCATGGTGTAAGGAGCGTAGGCAATGTTTATTACATCTCCATTGATAATACGCGAATCTTGAGCCACCACGGAGACTGCTAAGCAGTATAGCATAAATAATCGCAACATTTTTGCAAATGCTGATATGTAAATGCCTGGATGTGGTTTATATAGGATATTACTACAACCTATATACATAACGCGATTTTCGACATTTCCAAACACTTGAACAATTATTTGCTTATGCATTTCGATATTAAATAACTTTTATTATTTTTTATAAACATAATATAAACAAATCAATACCCTTCAGCTCGTCTATAAAGACTCCCTTCAGCTCGTCTATGCAAGACTCCCTTCAGTTCGTCTATGAAAAACTCCGTTCAGCTCGTCTATGAAAGTCTCAGTTCAGCTCGCTACTTCAGCCCGTCTACAAAAACTTAGCTCTTCTATGGAAGGCTTTATTATTAAACAAATCAATACCCTTCAGCTCGTCTATAAAGACTCCGTTCAGCTCGTTTACGAAAGAGTCTCTTCAGCTCGTCTATGAAAGACTCCCTTCAGCTCGTCTATGAAAGACTCCATTCAGCTCGCCTATGAAAGACTCCCTTCAGCTCGCCTATGGAAGGCCTTAATCTGTCCGTCTATTAAAGCCTCCCTTCAGCTCGTCAAAAATTATTCTCTCAAATCATCTAAAAGTATTCCCTTCATCTCGTCCAAAAATTCTCCCTTCAGCTCGTCTACAATGACTCCTCACAGTTTGACTCATTCTAGCTCGTCTAAAAAAGGATTCAGTCAGCTCGTCTATGAAGACTCCCTTCAGCCAGACCAAAGACATTTAAAACAACCTCTTCATCACCCAATACACACACATTGGGACTTGTGATGTTATTGCAAAATGTTGAAAACAATTCACAAAGAAGTCAGTTTTTTTGTATTATCTTCAACTTTAATTGTTGGATTCAAATTTATTTTTATTTGCACAAGTGTCAACTTCAAATTGTTTTTTATTTCAAATTCTAATAAATACCCAACATATGAAAACATAAACATTAGTTGCGACTCTAACAAACCCCTGCAAAATGTTAACACAAATATTAGAAATATTTTCAATTTTGCTGTTGGTCATTGTGGCAACAGTGTTCGCACAATCCCGCATATTGGGTGGTGAGGAAATAACCGTTGATAAGGCCCCATATATTGTACAACTGCGTCATAGCAAAGATGGTTTCTTTTGTGGTGGAGCATTGATAACATCCCGACATGTGGTCACTGCAGCCCACTGCCTAGAGGGATATGCCTTGGCAGATATAACAGTGGTTGCTGGAGCCACATCTCTCACAGATGAAGGTGTGCAAAGCCAAGTTGAAGATGGTTTCATGCCAGCCGAATATGATGTCGATACCATTGATATGGATGTGGCCGTTCTCAAACTGACTTCCGAACTCAGGGGAAGAGCGATTAGACCAATAGCCCTCTGTAGCGAACCATTAGAACCTGGTAATCTTTTACAAATTTCCGGATGGGGTCGTGTTACAGAACAAGGTGAAATATCAAAGAATTTACGCACTGTACGTGTACCGTTGTTGCCTCGTGCAGAATGTGTACTGCGTTATAAACGCCTTGGGGAAAATCTCACCAATTCAATGATGTGTGCCTATGACGACAATAAGGATGCTTGTACTTCAGATTCTGGTGGACCGGCCGTTTTTGCAGGAGAACTATGTGGTATTGTGTCGTGGAGTTTAGGTTGTGGTCATCGTCAGGCTCCAGGAATTTATACAGATATTAATGAGGTTAAATGGTTTATTGAACAGGTTATTGAATCTTAAGTCAAGATTCCGAATCTAAAATAATAAAAATTTACAAAAATTGATTAAAAATTAAAAAAGGCTATCCGCCTTGGTACGGTACAGAACTCTATGGAGTTTACCATAATGTTTAATTTCGAACGTAAATGAAATTCGGGATGTTTGATCTCGTAAATATTAGCGGATGGTTACCAAATAACGGATCATTCTCTGGCCATAACCGTTCCTACATGCAAAAATTCGTGTTCATTGATTCGGATAGTCGAGATATGATCGGTATACTAAAAGGTGGATCTACGACTAATATTTCGCGGCGTTACGAAATATAATATAGGTGTATAGGGTATACAAATCCACGCTTTGCAAAGTCCTTGGAAAAAATATTTCCAACTTATAAAAATCCAAGGATAACAAAATATTTAAAGCGACACTGAATTTTGAAATCGACAGTTTAATCGACGTTTGTTGGAATTTTGTTTAAAAATATGTTTAGAACATTTTGACAATTTTGACCTTCTCAAAAGGAAACTGTGTCTAATTTGTCCAATATCTTAAATTTGCCCCGTTCTTTTCATACTTGGTGACATTTTTATGGGGAAGTTAGTATCGGCATTTTACAAAATGAAATTCTAATTTTCCAATGAAGTGCCTTTAAAACATCTACCGCTCTTGCCAAAAAATAATTTGCAAATACTTTTCGGAACACTGTAGGTGGTAATAATGTCAACATACCAACAAAGTGCATAGTTGTCGTCATACATAATCACGTACTATGACGAGAGTAGAGAGCGAGTTACCCAATGAAAGGACTTCGAACAATGAATGAATGGATTTGTTTCCCTGCAAACACAAAACAAAAAACGTGTCTGCCTGTGATTTTTGCCGCCCTCAATATATTCCACATTCCTTGCGAAGGAGAGTAACGCGCCCATGAAAATATATGCAACTTGTTGTTTACATCCAATCGAACAATGGAGTACTTAGGAATTTTGCGGAAGTCCTTTTTGAAGGCATTGTTCCGGCTGACAGTGGCGGCGGCGGCAAGACTCCTTCATTCATTGATAACTTGTTAAACTATTACAGGTTTGCACTTGAAATCTCAATTTCAATTAAGGAGAATTTCTGGCGAAAAATATCACCAAGAAGAGGAAACTCACACGCACAAATATATAGTAGGGCAGGGTAAAGAGAAGGAGCCAAGGATCTGTGTTCCTTCGTGTCGGCCGGTATGATAAGCACAATGTTGCAGACAGGGCGAAGAAAGAAAGGCCAGACCACCTAAGTAAATGTCTACGGTTACATTATTGGGAATTTTGCGGCATAATCTATAGTTCGAACTCTCCCTCTCACTCTGTGTGTTTTCGAATATTCTCAAAGAGCGATTATCACTTGCTTTAAACGACTTATAGAGTGTAAGTTCCTTTGATCCTGATTATATTCTTTCTTCTTTTTTGGCGAAAAAATACTTATGAATGATGTTGAGATTTTTATTCCCATAACGGTCGTTGGTCGTTGTTGTGGAATGGAGGAATGGTATTTTGCGTAATATGATGCTAAGGATTTTTGTATTCACAACACACAACAAAAGGACACGGATTTATATACTTGTTTGCAAAAACACGTTCGAACGCAGGCACACACATCAAGTGCTGTATTTATCAAACAATATTCCAATAATAGCAACAAATTTTATATTTTGTAAGGATAATCACACACACATTATACAAAGAAGAGAATAAAGGCGAACAAGGACCTGTTTATGTTCATGGCCCATTCATAAATTGTTTGGCCGCCAATTCTTTGGAATAAGGCTCCAAAGAACTGAAAGAATGAATGACTGAAGGTTCTATCCTTCATGTGAGTGTGTCCTTTTGTTATGACTGTGTTATAAAATTGTTAAACAACAAAAGGTAGAACGTTTTTTATTACAACTTAAGATTGTATTTTCGCCAAAACAAACTCAAACTCCAGAAAAACCTCAAGTGTTTACTTCCACACAGTCCTCAAATACAGGATATTATTTGGCGGGTTTTTTGGGATAGTTCCGTAAGGTAGTTCTTCACACGTTATTGTCGAAAAATAATTCGTTGAATTTTGATCGGCAACCTTAAAAGATTCCATCAATGCAGTTTTGGCGCCCCGCACTTCACATCATCATGTCTGTCCATCATTCCTGCGTATTGCAGCCAAATTCCAATGAATTTTGCCATACAATTTTTTTGAAGAAATTTCTTCCAAAAAATCTTTGGCGAGTTGGGGACGTGAGAAAAATTATGAAATTCCTGTTTATGGGAAAATGAACCTGCACAAGGAGGAAAACTAAATTCTTACGAAAAATAATTTTGATTTATTTGAGGTTTTTTCTTCCTTTCTTCTCTCTACGATATCTGACAGGACATTCATTACATGCAATTGAATTAATTTGCAATTAGAGATTATCTTCCTTAAATTGTGTATTAAAAACATCAATTGGAGGTTTTGTTTAGGACTACCGTTGGGTGTGAATGAACAAGATAAACCTTGCGGACAAAAACACTTGTCAGCATCCTTGGAAAAATTATCTGTTGTACGTGATGTGAATTTCCTTTGGGTGTTTAAAGGTATTGTGAGTAAGAAAAATAAACAAAGGATAACGGTTAAATTGTCAGTAAAGGAGTTACAAAATTATTAGTAGAAGCGTATGCTTGCAATTTCAGACATACAAAAAAAAAAAAAATACTTTACAACTTAATATAAGTAACATCAAATTCGAAGATTCGATTATTTAATAACAAAATAAATATTGGGAAATATCTGAACTTGAAATTGGAGAATTTGCAATCTTTTATTAGGATATTTTTTAAAAGTTAACTAAAAATTCTGTAGATTATTATTCAACTGGGTCCATCCACTTAATTCGCTCTTCTTTACACAGATACTCGAATTGTATTCTTTTGAAAAATGTGAAATCAAAACGTTCATAGTATATTTATGGAGTTAATTCGGATAATATCCATGATATCTAGTCTGATCGAACACTATAAAGGGATTATTTTCTTCACTCTTATAATTTTTTTTAAATATATAACGTTTTACAGTAAAAAATCAGATTTTTCGTTTTTCAACAAAGGGTTCCTGAAGTTGTTTTAACACCAATGAAACTGTTTTTAAATTTTATGTGTTTATTATTAAACCAGAGAGCGGATGGGGCCGACAATATTATACCCTACACAACTACCACGGAACTGTAACGTTCTGCGGATCTATATTATGAGTCTGGGCAATATTTCCTGACATTTGTACCCCCTTGACTGATTAGAGGTCAACAGCTACTTTTTCCCACCCTGGCATATTTTCGGAATATTGTTTTCCCTGGATGAACACGCAATTTCTTTAATTGTCATGGTGATTTGACCGCCTCAATATTGGTCGATCCTTTTCAAAACAGCCCTTCTAATTGTTTGGCAAAAATCCCCGCCCCGTGGAAAATTGTGGTCTCTAGAGCGACTTGAAGACCAGACAAACATAATGCTTTCGATCCATTTCATCCTCGAAATATAATCTGATCATCACCAAGCTCTCCTACAAGAAGACCTTCAGCTCTTCTATAAGAAGACCTCAATGTCTTTTCTAAGAAGACCTCAAGCTCTTTCCTAAGAAGACCTTCTGTCTTCTCAACCTATTCTATAAGAAGACCTCCAGCTCTTCTATAAGAAGACCTCCAGCTCTTCTATAAGAAGACCTCCAGCTCTTCTATAAGAAGACCTCCAGCTCTTCTATAAGAAGACCTCCAGCTCTTCTATAAGAAGACCTCCAGCTCTTCTATAAGAAGACCTCCAGCTCTTCTATAAGAAGACCTCCGGCTCTTCTATAAGAAGACCTCCGGCTCTTCTATAAGAAGACCTCCAGCTCTTCTATAAGAAGACCTCAAGCTCTTCTATAAGAAGACCTCAAGCTCTTCTATAAGAAGACCTCAATGTCTTTTCTAAGAAGACCTCAAGCTCTTTCCTAAGAAGACCTCAAGCTATTTTCTAAGAAGACCTTCTGTCTTCTCAACCTATTCTATAAGAAGACCTCCAGCTCTTCTATAAGAAGACCTCCAGCTCTTCTATAAGAAGACCTCCAGCTCTTCTATAAGAAGACCTCCGGCTCTTCTATAAGAAGACCTCCAGCTCTTCTATAAGAAGACCTCAAGCTCTTCTATAAGAAGACCTCAAGCTCTTCTATAAGAAGACCTCAAGCTCTTCTATAAGAAGAACTCAAGCTCTTCTATAAGAAGACCTCAAGCTCTTCTATAAGAAGACCTCAAGCTCTTCTATAAGAAGACCTCAAGCTCTTCTATAAGAAGACCTCAAGCTCTTCTATAAGAAGACCTCAAGCTCTTCTGCTTATTCCATGGTCAGACGCCTTAATCTGTCTAAAATTTACTGATGATCGGGTCATAACTGTGGCCTCTGGAGTGACTAGAAAAAAAATGGTCCATTTGATCCCATAAATATTACCAAAAACAAAAAGTGGGCATTTCTTGGCCAGAACCTCTCAGCTGTTCGAGATCGGTATACTAAAATATGAGTCTTGGACCAATATTTCCTGGCGTTAAAATTTCTTTTAATACCATACATATGGGTTCCCCCTAAAGGTCGATATGCTTCCACTCACATGGTATCATTAAAATGTTCAAGGACAGATCAATTAATTCGAGAAATCGATGCAATTTGGTGTGGAACAGAAAAAAACATGACCATACTTTGTATGCCCTCTAACATGATTCTGACATTTGCAGAATATTTTGTTATCCTATTTACGTCGGAAAATTCGACTAGGACGTTTTATGTACAAAAAACAAAACCAAATTAAAAATTAATTCTGAATACTTTTACATTTTACTAATTTTCTCATTTACCTGGGTTGCCAAAGGATCGCCACTTGGGCTAGAAAATGTTTGTTAAATTATTCATTTTAGTAAAAGCTGATTTTTGTAAAGCTAAAGGAAAGTTTTTCGAGAAGTACACATAAAATTCAGAGAAATGCATGAATTAGTT